ATAAGTATATATATGATACATCCCCACCAACCCTTGAGTACTATCTGTCTAAGTACATAATTGATAGGATTAGAACTAAGAAGCATCTGAGATGCATGATTTGCAGGTTTAAATGGTAGTGGCATCACCACGAGCTTAAAAACCCTTGTGCTTAATTTGGAAGGAATATAGATGCAAATATGTACAGTGCTAAACCTTATATTTTGTATTATTTTATATATGTTTAATTACACTATATATTTATATTTATACTCCTTACAAACTGAGCCTTATATACATATTCCACACCACTTTATATAATTAATCTGCGTTATAACTCCATGCATACACCCTCCAAAACATACACAAAATTAAAGTGGCAAGATGGTATTGCCCACATGTCACAGGTCTAGCTGACCCTAGCTAGCTAGATAGCTAGTTTAATTCATTTGTTCGTGTTATCAGGTCAAATTGACCATGCGCATTCCGAGATATTGAGAGATCATAGTGATGAGTTGGGTTTAATTTGGCTATCCAAGAGGCTGTTCACACAAACTGTGGCCCCCATGAAACAAAAAACAAATGATGGTCCTTTCAGAGCTTCTCTTGAGTGGCATCATAGAAGTTACCGATCGATTTGATGGCAAGTTCGCTAGCTGGTTTGTTTAAAGAGTTGAGAAATTGGGATCGTATCCCGCCTTCATGGTCATTGAGTTAGATTCTAAAGCTGTTTATGGTCAAACAAAGTAAGCTATAAAGTTGGAAAGTGGGGGATCACATCTGTTGCTTAACCATGGAAATAGTACTGAAAATCTATTACCACTAAACAAATTTTCCCTAAATAAAGATGCCACTCACACCACACCCACATGATTTATTTAGTTTGATATGGGCACACTACGCTTGATTTGATTTGATTTGATATGCACACATCATGGTTAATTTAATTTGATATGAACACTTCACCACGCTCGGTTTAGGCCCCGTTTGACATCACTCCCCATAATCAATTCTGTTGATTTTGGGGATTCTTTGGATGAGAATCTCTTTTGGGACCAGAAGTGAAATTCGTTCCCCAGAATCTCATTCAATTTTGGATGAGAAATTCACTCGGAATGCAGGATTCTTCCAAGTGATATTTTTTTGGGAGAATAATGGTTCAGCCCAGGGTTAGAATTTTTAGATCTAAAATACAGTTGAAGTGGGTGTCAGGTCGGAATTGGTGCTAATTCATATGCAGGCATTGATGTATAGAGTGAGGGTTTTTAACATTTTGAATGTTTATAGTTCTGCACTGAAAATCAGAAATCCACATTTGACCTGTCCGTACTTCTCCGATTTTTTTTCACTTCTGAATCTCGGATTCTCCCTATTACCTTAATGAAATAACGAACACATGTGCACAACTACCCACGTGCAAGTGTGGGTAGTTGCGTCATTTTACCCCAATACATGAACCTCATCAAGCAAAGCCCTAAAAGCGTTAGAAACCTGGCCTCGTTTTTCTCTAAAATATTCTGTGTGAAATCTGCTAGAACACTCTCTTCTTCTTTTTCCCTCTTCAACAAGCTCTACTTGATCTGTTAACATTTGGTTTCCGTTTATGTTTATTGAATAAATGTTTGTACTTTATTTGCTGGTAGAACCGAAAAATGCAATAATTACAATTGTTTATGACAACTAGACACCACTAGGCGTTACTAGGCTCCACATCAGCATAACAGTGAAAAAACGTTTGGCCGTTTGTGGAAGCTTTAAAAAATAACTTCCACAAACGGCTGGCATGCACAAAAATCAAAGTTGACTTTTTTCATTTTCGATGCATGCAGAAGAGAAAGAGAGAGAAAATGCTGAAGTGGCGCCTATGTGGCACCGTCAATAAACATTTACTGAATAAACGTAAATGGAACCAAACTATCTGTCTCCATAGGATCAAAACAAGATCGATGGTGTCAGCTCCGTGCCACTCTGACAAGCTCGAAAGACCAATCGACGCGATTGCTCTCCGCATGCGTGAAGTCTCGGGAACCGAAGCGACACCTTTGACAACCCATCTTGGGGATGGGACCAACCATAGGTCTGTTGGCTCGACCTAAAAAACTAGTCCAACCCAAATCCTTTGACCCTGGCAACGCGCTCAACCAGAGGCAGTTTCAAGCTCCTCGCCTCACAGCCGAAGAGCTCTTCCACACCACACCACGACCGAGTACTCCTCTCCTCGACTTCGGAACTGGGGGAGTGGTTTTTGGATTTTGAAGTTCAACATCAAGTTCCTCAACTGACAACTGGAGTACTCATCCATAACGCACTGCAGTCAAACATCAGCTAAGCTCGGGTTCTAAAGTTCAATTTCAAGTTCCTCAGCTGACGACTGAAGTACTCTTCCACGCTACACCTTGGCTGAGTACTTCACTCATTAACTTCAGAACTGGGGGAGTGGTGTTTGGGTTATGGATGAGCCGGCTCTAGATGTCACATGGTACCTACGTGGCTGCCCTGTCACCCCGACCACGTTAGCGCTACGTCAGCTCCGCGGCCTACACCTTGGCCACGTCAGCATTGCATCATACCTTATCCATCCAACCACGTCAACACCACGCTATGGATAAGCGCGACCAAGACAAAAGATAGGATGGGGACAACTCCGTTGGGGATTAGGTCTTATCCCAAAGCCCTTGGTGGATAACCTCATCCCAACAACCCCAGAAGCCTCATCCGACCAAGACATAGATCTTCGGCTATAAGAAGGTACTTCCCACTCAAGGTAAATGATCCAACTTCTGACTTCCATATTGTTACTCTGCTCGGACCAGCACTGATCTCTAACTGCTCGGCCCGACCGCCCATTACCTTCTATTGACTTGAGCGTCAGAGTACCTACCCGGTGATAACTCCTTGGGCCTCTGACTTGTTTCTTACTCACAGATCTTGGTGTGTGGGTTCGTTCTTCTGCCTCGTCTTCGCCCAATTGGCAAGGAGTATCTAACTGTGACCTCGATTCTTGCACTATCTAGGATCGAGTAGCATCAGATTGGCGCTCAAGTTATCCCCAATAGAGGACCCCAGCTCTTGCACTACTTAGGATAAGCTGGTTCCAGATGCCACATGGTGCCTACATGGCTTCCCTGTCACCCCGGCCACGTTAGCGCTACGTAAGCTCCGCGGCCTACACCTCATAAGAGAGGACACAGATTTGTGTCCCTCCTCATATTACAATCGTCTCTTTCTATGGGGTTGGTAGTCCGAACAGTTCTCATTCTTCATCATTGTCGATGAAGAGCTTTGCTGGGTCTTCTCAGAATCCATGTCCATCGTGGCAGTAATCTTGTATTGGGGGTCACTACCTTTTGTAAAATTATACAATGGGGTTGGGTAGGTTGGGCTAGCCTAAATCTGGAGGGGTGTCAAACACATTCATCTTGTACACTATTTCCATGTTTTTTACGTAATTAAATAATGTTCTACTTTTACTAGAAAAATAAAAGAGCTTGTATTGAGGTTAGATTTCAGACTTGTTAGAAGATCTTTTTGATCAATAACTTCATAGAAGATTCAATGACTAGAAGGTAAATATAGACTCTTTATATGATTGGGATGGCAATCTATTGTAAGATTGTCATCAATTCTACATGTCATCCACATTCTAGGTGATTGTCTGAAAACTTTCCTTTATCAGTCCCTGTTAAAAATTACCATCCTTATGTCTTCAAATTCATTAAACACAAGAGCTTTTTTTTGTAAACGTAATAGAGTACAGTGTATTTGACAATGATGTTAATAAAGTGTAGTGTAACTCCATTTGAATTTATAATTAGTAGTTAGAAAATTTGACTTTGACCACAAACAATTGATTCATTTTAATTTGTTGGTCAATCTTGGGCCTGGTCAGTTATTCCACACTCTTTTGTTCTTGCTGGTCATTGGTCAACCATATAACTTGCCACTTGGCACTCAAATAACCAGATGATTTGACTCATTCATGTTTTCCGTAACCTCTCACGTCACAGATGACAGGGCCAGCTAGATTCCTGGTTCCAGACCCTCATTGCCTACACCTGTTCCTCCTTTTTTCCTCTTTCCGTATATTTGTTATTAATATATTCTTCCTGTTCGTTCCTGGTAGTGGTCGACGACTAATCAAACCATCCCGACCGATGTAATAATTTGTATTTATTTTGTTTATCAAATAAATGATAATCATCCTGGAAGTGGAGCTTGGATCATCAAAACTCAAAACTCATGGCCGTTTAACTTTAAGAAAGAAATAGATTTGAATAGGTACGTTGCGTTTCACAAGAAGATATAGTCCCACTAGCATATGCCTCATCGATATCGATGATGGTAGGGTTAGGGACTAGCCGACTAGGGTAGGCCCGAACCCAGAACAGTATCGTATCGTCCATAGTTCCCTCTTCCCTCGCGCTCTGGATAACGACTTGACGTAGGTTGACCGTTGAAGTTGAACTTCAGCCAACGACGGGTAAGAAAGGGTAAACACCGGGTCCGGAACCCGGGCGTCCGTTAGAAATTTTAAAATTTAAAGACTAAAGCATACGCGTTTTAGGACCCCCTTCTCTAACCGAAAAGGCATGATACCTAAAAACCTGATAACCAAATAACCAATCAACTGGTATTCGTCAAAATTGACGGGGATTTGATTGAATGATTGGTCACAATTTATTCTGTATCATACCCTTCCCTTCCGCCATCATAGAAATTGCCTATTTAAGTAATTAATTAATTAAATAAAAAATGTAAAAAAGCCAGTAAGAAAAAACGAACAACGAACTGCAAACCAAAAACGAAAACAAACGGAGCGAGAGCAGTTGGCGGGTAAATGGCGCCTCAACCCTCAAGGTGGAAACGGGGATCGAAAAAATAAATAAATAAATGAAAATGAAAAATGAAAGGCAAAGGAGAGGAACTGATGCTTTCGCCCAAATTTTCAAAGAAAATTTTGGACTAATTGAATATAAATAAAAGAGAAGAGCAGTGTAGAGCTTCCTTCTTTCCTTCAAACACGTTAAAGCGACGTTTCTCCATATTATCGTTTATATTAATTATTGTGTAGACTTATGCAACTTTTTCAGCGAAAATCATCATATTCATACTCATCTTATCAAGCCCTATACTCCCTTCTCTGTTTCACTGTTTGTGATTCTGGAGTTCTAGCCCTGGCTTGGGATCATTGGTAGAGCCTTCTCGCTCTTCATCACGTTTGCCTTCTCTTATACAAAAGCTTTAATTGTATGATCCCACCATCTGCTTACTTTTATATTGCATTTTTTTATTAGTAAGCTCCTGCAATTTTATGATATCCGATCATGGCAACATTTCTTTCTTCTTCGTTATCTGATTTCTTTAGTAATTTCTGTGTATCTGATCAATGCAACACCTTTTTCTTCTTGGGTATCTGACTGATTATTAGAATTGGAGTCACTTTTATCTCATTGTGTTCTGTAAATATTGCTAGTTTTTGTTCCGTTATAAAAGCCTTTAATCAGTCAGAGTGGAATTGCATTCTGTAGTAAATCCAGAAGACCAATTCGTCGGTTACATATTGCTGAGGGTCATCGAGCCATGAATACTTTGCGTTGTTTTCCTTCTCAACCTTTTCTTTTTCTACCTCTTGTTCTTTGGTTTTATTTCCCCAATGATGATGTTGTTGCTTATCTTTATAACTGATCAATAGTTTCTAAATTCACAAACATTTGCCCACTAAAATCAAGACAGGATACTTGTAAACAATGTTGACATGGGCAGTAGTTTTTGCAAGCTATTTTCATTTGTATGTGTTCACGATAAACATCTTATAAATATACTGCATCATCAGTCAACACCCTGTTCATATTGCTGCTCCTCTCCTCCTCCCCCCTCTTCCTTGTTCCCTCTAATCTGATTAAATTTTCTTTCTGATTAGGTTTGGCAAGGTATTGGTTGAAGCCCTTTCTCTTAAAGTGGATTAAAGGATACCTGTTCTCGAGTAGGATACATGGGAAAACATTTCCCACGCAAATCCTCTAGTGTGCGGCCGTCTCAGAACAATCATCCAGGATGCATGTCGGGCGTATTTGATATTCTCGATTTCCATCAGTGGCATAACGTCAGAAAGGTGATTCCAATCCCACACAGGAGGCATAGGGGTGGCAAGAATGCGGAAGGCAAGAATTTTTTTTTTTTTTTGGCATCTTTCTCTTCCACTTATTTTCACGAGTGTTGCTACTTCTTCTGATAAAACAAGCCCTTGTCTCTTCTACCGTCTCCCACATATCCATTAGATCCAAAAGACTTTGGTGGGTACACGTATTGTGGAGGGTTTTGTAGAGTGTAGACTGTCACTTTAATGAGATTTCTGGGTGATTTTTGAAGTTCTTCAAGTACATTTCTATTCTTAAGTCATCATCATACATATTCATTTATAGGTGCCTATAGCAATTGGTTGCATATATGTCCAATAAAATGCAGTTTTCCTTAGAGAAGAACGATGGGTCACTTTGATCTTCTTTCTTTTCCTTATTTGTTATCATCATTTTTTTTTTCCTTTAAGCCTTACATTAGCAATTCATTTCCTAGAAACCATCAAACTTTGGTTAATGAATGCATTTCAACTCAGTAATCAGCATTTCATGTTAGGGTATGGTTTCTTGTATCTTTACTTGGCAGTAAACATTAAACTATGAAGAGGAAGTTAAACATAAGTCTTGGTAGGTATGGGACATGGAGATATTTTGCCAAATTGTGCAGGGAAACTAAGGTTTGTTCTTTGCAAAGTTAGGTTAGCATTTGTGCTGTACCTATCGTCAACCAACTCATCACTTGCAGAATGGTCTTAATGTTATCATACTGTTATTTGGTGATGACAGGTCCCATAGCCAAGTCTATGGCATCTGAATACACATACCTTAACAACTTGGCAAGCTAGCTAGAATCTCCAATGACCCCCACCCCACCCCATCTGTATTTATTTGCCTCAGCATGAATGGCTGTCCTGCTAACATATGTTAGATATCAATTTGTCTTTTCAGTGGTTCTTTAGACATGCATAACTATTTTTCTTACTGGTTTGCTAGCAGAAGAATTTCCATGTGCTTTTGTTTCCAGTTCCTGTTGATATATTGATTCTTTTGCATGCCTATCTTCGTAACAACTAGACCCTTTGTACCTTGTTTTTGACATTTCTTACTACTATAATTTTTCATGTGTCTGGTAATTATTGTCAGTTTCTTTTTTCCTCTTTAGATCTAAAAAGTCCAAAAATGGATCTGGACACTGCTAATTCTGCTGAGACACTAGAAGTAACAGATGCTGAAATCAGCAATTTCCGTGTAAGTGCTGTAAATTGATCTTTGTAAGCATCCACTGATGTTTGGTTAAAGCAAGCACTTAATACATCACATGTACAAGCTTCCTTTTCAGTAGCCAACCCCATATAGTTAGGACAAGGCTTAGATGATGATGATCATAAAGCTTCCTTTCAGTTCTGACTTTTTCATGTATCACAAATTTGCCCTCTGTTGTTATCTTAATGGTGGATTCCACTTGCTACAATTAAGATGCATTTTCTTATGCAATCAAAAACTTAATATGACAAAATATTTAAATCAAAATTTTTCAGATGGAAGAGAAAATGACAGAAACTGGTCCAACTAACAAATTTGGTAATGCCTGCATCAAAGCATTACTTGCTGAAGAGATGTCCAAAGAAGAGGACCAAAAACACCAAATTTCAGGTTCCCCTGCACAATCAGAGTTGTTTCAGACAGAATCCATCCATCATTTTGAACCTCCAATTGTCAAAACGAGAGCAAATAGTGAAGGGCAAAGAACTGGTTTCTGCGTAGATAATACTGCCACGTCTGCTGCCAGCATGCAGTGCACTCCTGAGGAGTCGGAGTCGGATACCTGCCACAGACACTGCAAAGTATATAATCCTATGTTGGGACATAACCAACTTGATGAGCAGGGCATCCAGCTAGTAGAGAAGCGTGCTCTTCTTTGGGATAAGTTGATGAAAGGAAAAGAGGAGTTCTTAATGAAGAAGGTCAATGATATAAAGGACCTTGGTGATGGAGCTTCAACCCACCAAACAAAGAAATTTCTGGATGCTCTAGAGATATTTAATGTAAATAAGGATTTATTTTTTAAAATTCTACAGGACCCTGACTCTGCTCTGGCAAGTCAGTTTCGAGGTGTGCAAGCTTCTCGTGCAAAGACAGGATTAACCAAGTCAGGATCCTTCCCTTTGCCTGGTTCAGTTAGGAAAAATTTTATACTACTCATGGACCAGAAGGAAATTGGGCCTTCTGCAAAACGAGAGAGCAAGTTGCATGCTGGGATACAGACCGCAAAGTTGAGCAAAGTTGAATCTTCATCTTCAGATGATAATGTAGGGAGCATTCTGAAGCCTGAGGACATAACTCCTAAAATAACCGAAACTTGTACAGGTTTGGATTCTTCTCTCGGTTCACCTCATGAGTTGAAGAAGCGAGGGGAGAGCCAAGTTGTTCTTAGTCGTTTCCAGAACATTAAGAAAAAGATAAAGCAAGCAATCAAAGAGAGCAAAAAAGAGCGTCTCCGGATTTCCATGGATGCAATCCTCCATAAAATCCCCTATGGTCGTAGGTCTTCCAAGGATGTGAGAGACCAGTGGAAAGAATTTGCAAAAGGAGGTAATAAAGTTAGTCCCAAGAATTATGAGAGCAATGGTCCCCTATCTTCTATCTGCAAGGGTAATCAGAACCGCATGAGAAGAACTGTTTCTCTTAATGAATCACTCAATAGATATTCTCAGTTGTTTGAGTCTAGCTATGGCAAAGAAGCTAAACAGCAATTCTGTGACAGGTTAAAAGTAACGAATGATGGTGGTTGCTCCCCACGTAGACAAGCCTCAAAAACCTTTGGAAGGATTCTTTCAATGCCCAATATTGAGTATTTATTTTCTCTTCAAAATGATATATCTTGTGATATTCCTTGCTTAGGGATGGAAACCAGGAACCATGCAGATGAAAGTGCAAATATTGACAGTTCTATTTCTGATGAACAAAAGCTACTTGGTCTTCCTACAATTACAGAGGATACCAGAGACTCAGAAGTTCTTGTAAAAAGTGAAAGCCAAGAAAACTTGGTACAGGAAAGTGAAAGTATTTCAGTTCACAAAGATCAGGTAGGATTGGTGTTCTATAGAAATGATGATGGGAACACTGAAGATAATAGAACAAGCGATAATATGGATGATATAGGAGATGGCACTTCTATTTCACTCAATAAGCAAGAAGTTGGGCCTAAGCTAGCACAACCAAGTCCAGTCTCTGCTCTAGACTCCTGTTTTCAAGAGGATGTAGCTAGTCCTGCAAAATTCATCACAGAAGGTAGCCCTCCCATGGAAATTAATTTTCCTTACTTACATGCCAATAAATGGACTCCACTTCTTCTAGAAATAAGATGTGTAACATGGACTACCACACCAATCAGAAATAAATGTGTCAGTTTCTGGTACATCTAATAATAGTATAGATAGTTGATGTGTTTACTTCTGATAGAGTGTTCCAGGGTGTGTTACACATCTTGTTTCTAGCAGATCCGGACACCAATAAATCACACATCTCTTGCATCTAGATTTCTCTGCCTGCTACTAATAAAAAATATGCCTACTTGATGGTTTTATATCATTACGCTATCACAGGTGGTGCATATCATAAAAAGTGTCCTAAATCTATTTAATTCCGAATATTTCTGGATCAGTGGTTAATCCTTAGTATTGCATTTTTCTCTTTATTACTTAAAAAAAAAAAAACTTCATAGTTTTCTGAATACTTTTACCATTTAATTCCCCTAATTGATGTTTTAACATTATTATTTACAAATGAAGAGCAGCTTATTTGATGTCTTTGGAAATGTGTGAAAATTGATGTCTAGACTTTAACATTTAAACTGCTTTGGTACGAGGTCCTGACATAAAAAGAAGTACTTTCCAAGACCTGTAGTTCTGGGTCTCAAAAATTGATTACAGTTTGCAGTAATTATGAACAGAAAGCAACTTTTCTGAAGCCTTGAACAGTAAGCAACTTAATGGATTCACTAAAATTCTATAGAAATATATCTTGAGCTTCAAACTTTACACTATTCTTATGAACACCTGATTTTCCTCATCAGTGTTTTACTGGGGGATTTTTAGGCGGAAAAAGTTGCCAATTTGGTTACATTTCAGAGTATTTTGTCCTTTTGGGGCTGTTGATTTAGCAAATCCTTCTTTTTGTTTGTTATGAAAGGGGCAAATTCCCCATGGAAAAAAAAAAAAAAAACTTTTGTTGGTAATGATAATAGTATGCACACACAAGTGTTCCTGTGGCTTAAGCAAATTATATTTAGGCCATTAATTGAGACTTTGAGAGGTATCCTCTTAGCAAAAATTATTTATGCCCCAACCACCACCCCACTTTTTTATATAAATCAGTTTCTATGTTCATTTATCTACCATCAAAGTTGTTGGGAGTGACACTTCTAGTGGAATTTCCCTGCAGATTCTGAGTTCAGATCCATGTGCACCTATTTTGACAATATGGACTCTTCAGTTAATCTGCAAAACCACTCTGCTGTGGATTCTTCCTCTGACAATGGCAATACAGTGGATCTTGCAAATGCACAAGTGAAGAACGAGTACTATAATGGTAAACATGTAGATGTCAATGTTGATAGAAAGGATGAATCCGAGTTCAATTATGTTAGAGATGTGCTCAAGCTGTCAGGGTTCAGCGGTAACGAGTACCTTGGAACATGGTACTCCCCAGATCAACCTGTAGATCCCTCATTGTTTGAGGAAATCGAGATCTGCTCACCCAGAAACTACTCTAGACATGGGGCGCTTGGAAGTTGTGATTACCAGCTTCTGTTTGATCTAATTAATGAGGTCTTACTAGAGATCTATGGGTTATCATTAGCATACTGGCCCCACCCCTTGTCCTCCAATTCCCACATCCGGCCAATGCCTGTGGGACACCATGTTCTTGAAGAGGTCTGGTCGAGTGTTAGCTGGTACCTGAAATTGCAGCCGGAGCTAGACCCTTCTCTGGATTACATTGTGAGTCGAGATCTTGCGAAAAGTGATGGTTGGATGAACCTTCAATTTGATATTGAGTGTGTGGGGCTTGAGCTGGAGGAATGGATACTGGATGATCTCTTAGATGAAGTTACCTACTCGTGACTCGTGGTTCTAGGAGCCTGATCAGGCTCTCCAAAGCTCTCTCTTTTTTCCCTTCTGATTGGTCGTATGTAATTAGGGAAATATTATTCATGTAGCTGAAACATTGTCAAGCAATAGGGAGAAATGGAAAAGAAGATTATGATTCCTTACCAAAAGTATATACATTGTACAGTTTAGCAATGTAAAAAAGATCATGTAATTCTTTCTTGTAAATTTATTGGGAATACAAGGATTTGTGTCATTTCAATCATCAGTGGTGTATACTAGTATTTAGTAACATAGTAATGTTTTGCTTTGGCTTGTCCATTGTATTAAGAAAGACTAAAAGAGTGATAAATGAAACAATGAAAAGATCAACACTTACTACCCTTTGTACAACCATTTTACCCAGGCAATCCAGCAAACATCCCGGTGATCTTGGGATTCACCATTTGATGAGTCCCAGTCTAGGAGAGCGGAGAACCCTACTTTGAAGTTTGAACAAATAAGCAGCATTAAGTAGCAGCAAAACCATAACCTATCGCATTTAGATGGGATGGATTGTCAGGACTCAGGAGAGGCTCTATCAAATATTCAAATGATCTGGTCATTTGCCTTCTAATGTTAACTTCACTCGTTTTTCTTTTTCATTAGGCAACGGTTTTTTTTTGTCGGTAAAGTGAACAAGTAACCACTAAAAAACATCAAGGATACATGATGATCCCCAATACAAGGGCTATACTGATTTAACGTCCAAGGGGGATAAGTAGATGGCACAAAGGGGGTGTTCTGTTTTTGGATTTTGAAAGGGGGGAAAGTTGGTCAATATGATTTTGGTTCTCATTGACCAAAAATCCCATGTTCTTTTTTCAGATTGATGTGGGGACCAGGGAAAGTTTATTTTATTGGGTATCACTTAAGTGGGTAAATGATACACATCTCCTAAGTGGATAAATAACTTTCCCACCTAGGGAGAAAGTTGCCAACACTTGAATGGGACAAAAATGCCCTTTTTAATAATGGATTTTTATGGTTAAAATGGTCATTGCCTTATTTACATGAAAAATAAAAAAACATGGGTAAATGCACTTACCCAAATAAGTGTTTCCCAAGAAAAACTTACCAAGGTGCATTTACCCGTGTAAGTAACTTACCGAGCGAACGGGGCCAAAAGAGTTTAACAGTCTTGCTTTCCTAGCCATTACATGTGCCTGAACAACGTAACTTATTACTAACTTTAATATTGACAAAAAAGGACAAAAGATAACTGATGTGGTTAAGAAGAAGTTGCTCTCTCCACCTGATGCTTCTTGTAGTTCCTTTAATTTAGATAGAACTTTCTTGGCATCTGAGAATAGGATAGCGCTAGAAATGTTGATAGAAATTAGTCTTCTTAGAGGACCTCTGACGATTGCCCATACTTCAGCTTCTGCTGGGGAACTCGCCATACAAGGTTGTCCTTCGGCAATGAACGTTTGAGAAAAGTAAGAAACTACAGTTAAACCAGTTGAAGTTTTGTATGCATCTATTTCCCAAGAGCCATCAACAAAAGACTTAAAGAGCATGAGTGAGATGAAATATGGAACCAATGGTGGATCATCTATGAGGATTAGCTACCAATAGTAATTGTAAAGACTAAAGAGGGTAGTAGGCAGAGGAGAGTAATTGTCTGCCTGAACACAAAAGATCCGTCGGATCTGGCTTTTTCCTTTTTGAACAGAACTGCATTCCTTTCATCCCATAAACTTCTCAGTGGCGAGGATTCTTGCCATGATAGGCTTTCTCAGATCTTTGCTGATATCATTGTATGAGTTCCACATGTCAAGAAAGTCTGGGTTATGCAAACTCAAGAAGGAATCTGGATTGAATCCCATTTGGGCCTGGAGCCAAACAGCTCTAGAAAAGCTACATTCGAAGAAGCGGTATCCTTAGATTCCTCTTGATCATGGCAGAAGGTGCAAGTTGTTTCTTTAGCTCTTCTTACCCCCAACAAGTTATTTTAGTTCTTATGGCATTAAGAAATAACTTCTAAGCATGTAACTGGCATCTGAAAGGAGCCTGAGAAGACCAAAGCCGCAACCATTTAACCCTGGAGGTAGAAGTCTCACCTTGCTTGGACTTACAAAATTGTCTATATGCAGATCAAACAGTGAAAGATCCATCCTTCGTACCTTTCCACATTAAGACATCAACTACAGATTAAGGGGAATGGTGCAGACAGCATTCACGCTCTTATCAAATAAATTCTTGAGAAGAGGTCGATTCCACTTTGTTTCACATAACCAAAGAGGAAAAAATAAAAAATAGAGCTACAAGGATTAAACATGGTTCGGTTACAGCCAATATAACAATACCTACTCCATAGTGGTAATCTCAAAAACTCAAAGAGAATTACCAAGGATTCACTACATGAAAAAGATACAAGCCAAGTAGGAAAGAAATTACAGCAAATACGTTACAAGTAAAATGGGAAATTAATAATGTAAATTACTGATTGTATGGTCAGTTTCTAATTTGTTTGGTGTTCTTATTGTCAATACTCCCCCTGAAGTTAGGAGCGAAGATGTCTATGGATCCCAACTTAAACATCTGTTTGGATTGATCCCTTGATGTAGCTTTGGTAAAAATGTCTTGGCTTGAATTTTTTCTTACAGTCAACTTAATGTTTGGTTCATTCATGAAACACCAAATTTGCTGTAATGCGATTTGTTGCTTGATTGTCACAAAATAGTTTCATTGGTGTTTTAGGATTAAACCCAAGTCTTAAAGGAAGGAGTGGAGCAAAATTAACACACAGGTGGTAGATGTCATAGCTCATAGCTCTATACTTAGCTTCAGCTCTTGACTTGCAAACACACTTTATTTTTTGCTCTTCCAAGTAACTAGATTCCCACAAAAAAAAAGTACAATCCACAATGGTTGACTTCCTATCCATTGAATTACATGCCCAATATGCATCAATGTAACCACCAATCTCAGCATGGTCATTCTTCTTCATATAAATTCCTCTTCTTGTAGACGATTTGAGATATCACAATATCCGTAACAATTTCCATGTGCCCAACTTTAGGAGAGCATAATTTGACTCACATAACTAACAACAAAGGTTATATCCGATCTTGTGATGGTAAATTAGTCGACCCGCAAGTAGGGGTGAGCAAACGGTTTATTCGGTTAAAAACTGAACCAAAATAACCAAAACCTAAATTTCGGTTCGGTTTTTGGTTATTTTGGTTAAAACCGAATTTCAACATTATATATTTTAATATATATTGTAGTGTATATTTTAACATATAATATATATTATATATTATACAATGTATATAATAAATTATATATTTTAATACATAATATAATACAATATAATATATTTTATACATATTATATATGTATTATATGCTAATATATATAGTATAAAGAATAAAGTTCGGCTAATCCAGTTTTTTTCGGTTAACCAAATTTTTAAAACTGAAAACCGAAACCGAAATTTTACAAAACCGAAAAAATCGAACCAAAATAACCAAAAACCAAAAAAAATTGTAACCAAAATTTTCAGTTTGGTTTTTCGGTTTTAACCGAATAATGCTCACCCCTACCCGCAAGTCTTTGAAATCTGCCAATATCTTCCAAAGGTTCATCATTTACATTGAATTTGTTACTATAATCCATATGAGATCCAAAATTCATTGAAGTATAGCTAAGTTTTACATATTAGGCTCTTGGTGACTATTTGAGGCCACTTTGTTCAATTTACTAACAAGGCCCTTCTTGAGATTCAAGATGATGACCTAAAGGAAGGTCCATATAAACTTATTCTTCAAGATCCCCTTGTAGAAAGGTGTTCTTCACATCAATTTAAAATAAGAACTAATCATAGTTAACAACGGGCATAAAAACCCTAACAATGTTCATATTAACAATTGAAGAAAAGGTTTCTTTGTAACCAAATCCATAGGTTTGAATAAAACCCTTGGCAACCATCTTTTCTTCATGCCTTTCAATTAGGGGTGTCAATGAACCGGTTTTGGATTGGATTCAAACTGATCAAAACCTTATCAAATCGAATTTGGACGGTCTCTTATAATTATTGGATTGAGCCAATCCAAAATAAATTGGTCCATATTCTTATCGGTCTGAATCAGACCTAAACCAATTTCCCAATAGTAAACCCTTGTCTAATTTGAAACTGATCAAAACTGAAGCCGGCATAAAAACACTTTTATGAAAGCACTTTTATAAAAGGACTACAAAAACATTTTTATAAAAGTACTTTTACACAAAAGCACTTTTTGTAAAAGTAATTTTATGAAAGTAAAGTATCTTTACATAAGTATTTTTACGAAAGCACATTTACAAAAATACTTTTATAAAAGTATTGTTATGCGAAAACACTTTTATAAAAGTACTTTTACAAAAGCACTTTTACGAAAGTACTTTTACGAAAGTACATTTATGAAAAATACTTTTATGAAAGGACTTTTACAAAAGTACTTTTATTCATTCACTTTGGATTGGGTTGGACCCAATCCGGTCCATTTGCATTTTATCAAATTACTTTTTTTATCAAAAGTATTTTTATTGAAGTACTTTTTTTATATATATTTTCTGGGATTTCTTATGTTATTTTGTGTTTGGTTCAATTTGGATTGCATTGGACCCAATCTGGTCCATTTGCATTTTATTTAGACTGGATTTGGTCCAATCCATTTATAAATGGACCAATATTGTATTGGACCGGATTGGACCAAATCCAATCCAAGTGAAAGCCATACTTTCAGTGGATCCATCATTATTATATTAATCTTGTACGTCCATTTGCAAATAACACGTGGCTTTCCTTTAGGCAATTTCACAATATCCCAAGTATGGTTTTTTTTTTTTTTTCAAGGGCCTCAAGTTCATCGTTTACTCCGAATTGGCATATTTTGGCATCACAAAATCTCGATGGCTTAGTATTGTTAATTTTATTAAGAAGAGCATCACGAGCAAATGATATATTATTATAACAAACATACTCTTGGATGGGAAAAGATGTCGTGTGATGGGTATAGAAATCCTTGAGCCTATAAGGAGGATGGGTAACATGGGTTAACCTTCGTGAAGGAGCCTCAAAACGGTTGGATAATTCTTTCTTCCACCAATTCCTCTATACCTATCTCAGAGTCACCATTAACAATTGGCGATTAATCAAATAGCATAGCCATTTTTATCATCAAGATCATCAATCAATGACAAAGGGGCAAATTCACATTAAGTCTCCCCTTAAATTTG